TGGTACCCAAACGCAGTTAATCTCCTCCCCAGAAGTGCAGGCTGATTTTGGCACCTTTCCGATCCCTGTATCTCAAGAATTGGCTCCTTCTCAAGTGCTTTCCCTAAGGGTGTTGGGTTTCAGGGGGGACTCCTTGTTAGATTCAGGATGTTATCACATCACCTCCAGGAGTACAAAGTTTCTATTCCACAAGGAGAGGTTCCCATCCAAGGCTGCAGTCTGGCATGGCCCCTCCAATCCTCTGAGCATCCCCGACACCTCCTGAGTGTGCCATCGTGCAGATCCCTAGATGTTTGCAAACCCTAAAGAGCTTGAGGGGTAGCTTTCACTTTTAAGTTGCTTGCTTTGGGGGAAGAACCTAGATGGTCGAACTCAATACCCACAGCACTTTCTTCATCTCTGAGCTGAAACCTAGGCAACTTGAGGGGTCAGCGCTGCAGGAGAAGATGAGGTCAGAAGCATCACCTGACAACCACAGGGGTGGAGGGGTGACAGCTTTTTCTCTATTAGCCCAAAGGGTTGAAGGCACAGAATGTTTGCTTTGTGTTTAGCATTTTAAAATTATTTTGTTTCCTGTTTCTCTCTTCACTCCGAGCATGGGCAGTACTGCAGATGGGCCTGTCTGACAGAAGCATCACCTGACAACCACAGGGGTGGAGGGGTGACAGCTTTTTCTCTATTAGCCCAAGGGGTTGAAGGCACAGAATGTTTGCTTTGTGTTTAGCATTTTAAAATTATTTTGTTTCCTGTTTCTCTCTTCACTCCTAGCATGGGCAGTACTGCAGATGGGCCTGTCTGGAAAAAAAGTGAAATGTTAAAGTCAGGAAAGGGATTGCAGTCTAGGCTGGGGGACTGTGCTGAAGAAAATGCCCAGGGAAGCTTATTCTTCCTCTGGTGTGTGAAGGCCAGCCCAGCCTTAGACTCAGTCCCCCCATTCTCTGAGCTGGAGAGGAAAGGAACCGAATGTCACTGTTAGCAGTGTGGGCTGGGACTAAAACCATTCAGAGAAAACACTGTCATTTTCCTCTAATTTGCAAATTGCAGCTATTCATGTTGGATTGAACAGCTGAGGGAAAAAGAGCTTCCAGTTTTCACCTGCATTTATTGAGAAGAATCTGGTAGTAGGAGGAATGCACCAACTTGTAGCTTATGCTGCAAGCTGCATAGAACCATTGGAGTGGCATCCTGGTTAACCATTGCCCGTGCTGGAGTATGTGTGCATATACACCAAGAATCTCTTCCAGTGGCCTTTTTTGCATGTAAGTCCAATGCCCAGGTTTCCAGCTTCTGTAAGCCTGCAAAATGAGTAAAGAGAATAATGGTGCACAGACCCATTGTTCAAAGGCACCAACATTTAGGGGAAGAGGAAAAGGACAGGAGGTGAATCTTCACTGGGATTCCAGGGTTCAGCTCAATTAAGATTGTCCTGTATAAAACAAACTCTTCCAAATGATTGAATTCCTAGCTCTCCAGTGATCTGAATTTTCTGTTTCTTTCTGGTTACTGTGGGTTGCTGTGGGGACCATGCCAAACCAGTCACTTGAGACAGAAATTTACAGTGAGATAAGCCTCTAGGTTAGGTGAGGGAATACTTAGGGACTTGAATGGGGGTTGTTCAGTGCTCAGGGGGTGGGGAAGAGGGAGTAATGAAATAGTAACAGATATAACAAATGCTGCTGCAAAGCCTGTGATGAAGTTCTTTCCTGAAAATTAGGACCTGGGCAAGAATGACTACTCCGACGTAAATAGTGTCTGTGACTTCAAGTTCATATTTGCCTGCTGGTGTACCAGACCAAAGATAGGAGCTGAGCAGGTCCTCTCTCCTCTATATGCACACTGAATCGGTTAGTAAATGACATGTCTGAGGACAGGAATCATATCCAGTGGGTCCTTCAAATCCAGGAATTTGAGGCTAATGAAATTAGTGTGGGGCCAGGGCTCTGCCAACTAGAATTAAATCACTGCAACGGCCCTGCAATGCATTTTCAGCCTCAAAGAAGCATCAGAGAGGAATTGCTGGAGATTTGTTTCTGAGCCTGTGAGAAATAATACTCTCCTAATGCTAAGAAAGATTAAATGTAAATTAATATTGACTATGGGTAACATATTTTAAAAAAATAATCACAGAGTGGGGATGGCTTAGAGTAGAGAGATTATATAATACGGTGGCCAAAGGGTAAATCTCCCCTGCCCATTGTTTTATGGGCTATAAGTAAGATATATTATAGTGAAAAGGGGAACATGTTTATTCAAGGCTTCTCTGTTATTGACTTGAGAGCAAACACTCTGAGAGTATAAATTACTCTTGCTACATCCTGACTCTGAATGAATAGTATTTCATGTGTAGTAACATGGTTTAAGCCCTAGACTTGGAATTGAATGGCATCTGTTTCTGTTTTTGTTTTATTCTGTTTTTTTCCCCAAAGCAACTAGACAGAAAAAGTTCAACTTATCCTTGTTGGAGCAAAATGCAAATCTAAGCTTGTGGCTCCTCAATGATAAATGAAATACATTTGTAAATTTGTCAATGTTTTCCTTCTGTTCCTTGAAAATTGAGTATCATCTCAAACTTCTGGAGAAACATTTTATAGATAAATACCTAGAGTTTTTCTTTCTTCTTTCTTTCCTCTCTCTTTTCATCTTATATAATCAGATAGAACTGACCACAAAGGATGGTCTGGTACTACTGTAGTGGAGAATTTTTTTAAAAAAGGCAAGTCTAACCTACTCTTAAAATTTTGTAAATATAGGTGTCACTGCCATTGGGAACAGTCTCTATAACAATCTCTGCCTAGATATTTACTGTGTTTTAGGAAATTTACCTAACAGATGGTGAGTGGGAAATTTTTAAAGGGGCACTTTTTTAAAAAAGCAGAGAGGGAAGGAATGAAGACACGCACATACTATATTTGAAGATATCTCCATGTCTGTTTTATGTATTCATATCCATGCAATTGGGATGTCTCTGGGCGTTTTTTCTCTTTAAGAATGATTGAAACAGTGAATGCATTTACTTCAACTTTATAAACACTTGGAGTTTAACAAATTTCAAGTGCTCTATTTCTTACACATATGCAGGTTGTGTCATGATTTAAAAGACCGTGGCCTGATTACACAGTGTGCTCTAGTCTCAATCCTGCTATTAACTGGCTAAGTTACCCTAAATAAACCACTTAATATTAATTTGGGGGTTTTTTTAACCACTTAATTTTTCTAGGCCTCATTTTCCTCATCTGATTTTTTTTTTGCTTAAAAAATATAGTGTCTGGAAGTCTATAATCTTTTTGTTTAGCTTAAAGAAAAACTGCTCTTGTCAAAACTTCATGACATTTTATTTCCTGGTCCCACTTTGAACTTTTAGTGATTTCAGGGAAACTTTGAAGGGATATTTTCACATGACTATCTTGGTCATTATTAGACTAATTTCCCACATTCAGATTATTTTTTCCTTTTTCTTTTACATGTTTGCTCCCCAATCATATATATCATGGCTTGTGGAGGGAAAATGACCTCCTGGACTGGTTTACTCAAGGCAGGGAGTGAGAACTGTGGAGTTTCCAGTAGCAGCTGTAGCTTTTGTGTATCCAATGTCCTTTTCATATTGCAAAAATAGCAAATTTTTCTTTTGGGAAATTGTCAAATAATGACATCTTGCTGATCTTCCTGGCCCCAGGGATGAGTCATCTGACCCAGGCCAAGTGAAGCAGGTGATTGGTTCAGTTGCAGGCATCTGACTTTGTCTAGGCCAATCGGAATCTTCCCCAAGATGTTTCTGTGAGAGAAAAATGAGGAAATTGCCTCTTCTCTCTGGAATTTCTAAGTTGGAGGAATGTGGTTCTGGGGCTCCCAGTGGCCATCCAAGACAAGAGACTTTCTCTAGCATAAAGTCTTGTAGAGGTGAGCAGGGCTGAGTGGTGGGAGAGCTGGAGCCCTGTTAATATTCAGGAACTCCCAAATCCTAATATATCTGAATCTAGATGTGTCCCTGAATTTCTAGTACATGTTCTTAAAAAAAAAAAAAACCTCTTTCACTATTTCGAGTTTGACTTTAGCCATGTGCGGTTGAAAGTGTCATAGCTAAAACAGCGATTTCCTACATTAATGTAAGTTTCATTGACTGACATTAAGTGAAAGATAATATAAGATATTTTCTTCACTTTAGTATAATCTTTCTGCTTTGGTTTGGAATATTCAAGACTCTATATCCTTCCTGCTCTTTCCAAATTTTAATTGCTTTAAGCTTTTGTTATCTCATCTTTCCCATTTTGACGCAGTTGAAAGAGAGGGTGGACACCTCTGCTATAAACTGTAGCCCATAGGCCTCCTACCTGGAAGTTTTGGAACCATACTCATTTCCAAATTTTAATTGCTTTAAGCTTTTGTTATCTCATCTTTCCCATTTTGACGCAGTTGAGAGGGTGGACACCTCTGCTATAAACTGTAGCCCATAGGCCTCCTACCTGGAAGTTTTGGAACCATACTCGATTCCTTTCATTAAAGCAAGTCTTTTGCTGATATCCTCAGGGCACAGAAGCATTTTCATAGCATAATGGAGTACAAAATACATTAAACTCCCGGGTCACTCTATAGTAACCAACAAGCCTAACTCTGCTCTTCGTCATTTTACTTTAAATAGGCAATTAAGCACAGTTGCAAACTCATTTTCCCAACAACTAAAATGCATATATGATTGCTATTTAAGAGGACATTTGTGCAACATATAGTCAAACTAACTAATTAATGGACCATTGGCAAATTGGCATAGTAGATATATATGTTTTCTGCACTTAAAATAAACAAAATAATAAAACCCTTAAATATTTATCTGAGAAGAACATTGTGTTACAATTCTCATTAAGACATTTCCATGTTTGACAATTAACTTCCTTTTAATTATATTTAATACTAATTTTTTTTAGATCAAGTTATTAGATTATGAGGTCAAAAATAAAATATATAAAATTAAAATTATCTAGGGTACCAGTCACATTTTATGAGAACAAAAGTTCTAGTTTCTTTTTGATAATAGTAGTAGTGACCATAATAATACTTTGAGTCCTTATTATGACCCACTGTGCCATGTACTAAAAATACTTTATCTCATTTAGTTCTCATAATAGTTTAGCAATTTAGATATTGTCATCCTTGTTGTACAGCTAAGGAAAGCAATTTTCATAGTCCAACGTCACATAGCTGTTAAGTGGCAAAGTTTGGATTCAAACTTAGATTTACCTCACAATACCGAGGTTATTCACCACTGTGTGTGCTGCTCCATTGTTGTACAAATGCAGAAATGCTTAAAATAATTATAAATTTACCTAACCTGAAATTGTGGTGGTTTAAAGACATCAAAGTTTCTGGTTGCTTAACCATATCTATTTACAGAAATAAATACTTTATTTTAGACCTAAAACAAGATTAATTCTGTAGGCACATAGAAACTTGAGCACACAAACCCTTAGCTCCAAATGAAAGATGCTGGTTCTCCATTATTCAAAAAGTAGCCCAGTGTGCATGCAATAAATATACAGTAGACTTTTCATTCAAATAAATGAGAAAGATGTTTCTTCTTGCCCTGATTCAGTGCCCATCATTATGGATTATGATGGCACTTCCTAAACTTTATTTCATTCACTCCACTCTTTCTACAAACGTCAAGTAGGGAAATCCATCATTCAGATAGATGGGCAAAGTGAGAGGACTGTATTAGTACAATTGCTGAAAGTCAAGTTGATAGAGCATGGGAAGTACATCCTAATAAATGCAACATTAATGTTTTTGTGGGCCACGAGATAGATGGGCAAAGTGAGAGGACTGTATTAGTACAATTGCTGAAAGTCAAGTTGATAGAGTATGGGAAGTACATCCTAATAAATGCAACATTAATGTTTGTGTGGGCCACAGAGGGAAGGGTAGGGGAATTTTCAGTTTAATGGATGATTTTGCCTCTTGCTATAAAAGTGCTGCAGCTTAATAGTTTTATAATTGGTCGTTTACAGAATTCTCCATCTCTGGGTATTGTGCTTTCCCCGTTCCGCTGATGATTCTTCCTCGTGTTCTCGATGGAAGGTAGCAACAAAGCCCATTAGAAGGGCCCAGCCTACTCTCCTGTGTTACTGTGTAGATGAAA